GATATTCTAATATTGTGAGATAGGATATTTGGGTTTCTTAAGCTGTAAGCCATAATCAGCGATATCAAAACAATAAAAGGCTTGCGATATTTCAGTTGATTTGTAATGAATCCAGAAAGTATGACAATGTATGACATGACATTTCATGTTTTTTAATTGCATTACAGAAAATAAAGAACTTTATCACAATATTCTAATTTTCTGAGACAGTCCTGTATGCTGAATAAGTTACAAATAAAAACCTCCCACGAAGGAGTAAAAAGAGTCTTTCTCCTCACAAACTGTTAATCACTGAGTGGTGACTTTTTACCTGCTCTGGCGTTCTGTTGTTGAACAGAGGCTCTGGACTTTTGGGGCTGGATGGTTTTGGAAGCAGCGTAAGGAGTCTGCAGCCACGCCATCCCAAACTGATCCGAACTCAGTTTGGTTTTGAAGAAAGGCTCATCTCCTGCTGTGGCTTCCTTCCCCTGCAATAAAACTTTACTGGCATCTGTCAACACTTGCTTTAATGACTCACCCCGACAATCATCTCCATCCACCATGTTGTAGAAAGTCTTGGAGAAACGTGTTAGCTAAAGTGCTCTAGAATAAAAGCCTCATAAGCTACAGTTCGACAGAAATGGAAAAACTTACAAAACCCAATCGAAGTAGCTGTGAGACTAAAGTGGGAAAGGAATTTGAAATGGATAAATGGTTAAAAAGACAGATGCACATTTAAAAGCAGCTAATGTTAGCTGTTAAGCTACATTAGATAAAAGGATTAAATGTTCAAAGTCACCAGATAAAGCCATAAAAAAGTAAATAAATTAGTCTCAATTCATTTAGAGATTAACTGCGGAAACACCTGAAAGTATGAAATACCATATCAAATGTGTGGGACATTTTGCTGTCGGTGCAAGTTGTTGGAAACATTATTTGCACAACTTCTCCTGGCTGTTAAACCATCAGAAATATTAATGTGGAGCTTTTTCAAATAAACCTTTGTGATTCAATTGTTCTTGATGAGTTGACTGTCCAGAATGTGGGAGATATGAGAGGAAGAAAAGGTGGAAATCAGACTTGGTGGATACAAAATAACCTGTTTAAATTTACCTGAAAGTTCACTAAAAAATGTGTTTATTTACATGTGAATCGTGGAAAAACAAGAAATGATGAGATGACACTAATCCCAGAGGGAGGAGGAATGCTTCCTTGGCATGTGTATTTAAACAAGAGAAGCAATAGTGAATTATTGATATTTACAATTATTTAATTCATTTCAATTGTAGTTTACAAACGGGAAAGACGTACCATTTCCAAGAATATACAAAGACACAAATTAGGTGACACAAATCTCTTGGGCAGGTTCCAATCAGCATGTTTGGGTTAGTTGAGTGTAACAACATTAAATCTAGTTCTGGCCTCAAGTATTTATCTTCCCAAGAGGAGAAACAACGAAAATGAACTCAAACTGAAGGTGAAGAATCAAGAGGAGACTCACGCTTGCTTTTTTTTCGGCCCAGAATTGCCAAAACAGATTTCCGGGATCCGTTTTTGTGAGGATTAAGGGACAGTGTTTAACCTGATGGCTTTTTGTTTTTAACAGCAGGGACTGCTGACCGTCAGTACCTGTGAGCGAGTGATGAGCACAGATACACGCAATGATACATAAAGTCTATTGGAAAGCACATGATGGGGGGGGGTGTTCCATGCTTTAATGGCGTCTTTGTCAACTTTAAGTGACTCAGGCTGTGAAGAGGACCACCCGTGGTATTTGAGAAGTTTTATTTTTCCTTTTTTTCAGTATTTCTTACAACAATACAGACATCACAGATTACATAGTTTTACAAACACAAAGCACACCACCACCTTGGCTGCTGATGCTGCTGCTGCTGTAAAGGGGGAGGGGGGGGAGAGGGGGGGGGATGCTGCGGGGTCTGGAGATTGCCAGTTCAGTTTTGGGCTTCCTTCTTCTTCAGAGCCTCCATTCATCCTTTATAGCCTAGAAAGAACCTGCCCTTTGGAGCTTTTTTTTTTTTTTCTTTTTGCAGCATAGCAGAATGAGGAAAAAAATTCTTTGAGACATGTAAGGGTCAAAAGAAAAAGAAAAGAAAAGGAAGCGAGTGTCTAGACTATGATCTGAGCGTGTTGTAGCCCCAGTTGACAGGAGGAAGAAACGGGGGTTAAAAGAAGAGTCCCAGCGTGAAAATGTTTCACTAAAGAAACACTTGAATTGCTCGGCTTGGCCACAGGAAAACTCGGGCAATCGGAACCTCTCCATTCCAGAAAACTAACACAACACCTGTGCTTCATGTTCAGATCTATAGTTTTTCAGGGCAGTCTGCAGTAAAATTACACCACTTAAATCTCGACCATCTAGTCTTGAGTAGTTTATACTTTTTTTTTTTTTTATTCCTGTACAGTCAAATAAAACTTCAACAGATTTTCAAATGACTTTTCTTTTCTTCAAAAATACAGAAGGCTATTATTATTTTTTCAGCCATTTTTTCCCCTCAAGCACCACTCCAAACTCTTCCCAAAAAAAAGGACTGATATATATTTCAGTGTGTGTCCTTCCATGGAGACGTGTGGGTGTTTATGTGTGTGTGTGAACTCTATGTCATTTACACTCAACATTGTAAACATACATAGAACTATATTACATGTGCTTGTACTGCATCTTGGAAGGGGAGAAAAATTTGGTTTACTTCACTAGAACAGCACAAAAAAAGAGAAGAAGAAGAAGAAAGGGCAGGATTTGGGAAAAAGAAGAAGAGCAAATGTTGAGCTCCTTTTTCGAGAGGTTGAGGTTAGTCTCAGTTTGGCTGAAAGCTTCATTTTAGTGAACTGGCCCCATTTTTTTTTGTTCTTTTTTTATGGTTTTCTTCCTGAAATGCACAACAGAAAAAAAAAAAAACCTTAAAAACAAATCAGAAAAGACAAGAAGCTCGTTTCTGAATCAAGTCATCGTGGTGGCGCCTTCTGTCCGGCCACACGGGGGGGGGCTGAGGAAGAGGAGGGACGAAGTTTTTCAACTCTATAGCAAGAAAATGCCTTTTAGGTCCATCAGCAGCATGAAGCTGTCCGCGGGGCTCAGCCTGGGCTTTCAGGGCCTCCACTGGCTTTCAGTCCTTTAGTGGAAACAAAGCAGAGATTGCAGGTCTCTGTATTTTTTTTCCCCCCTCAGTGAGAGAACATCAGCCCAAGTCAATGAATCCCGCTCAGTCGTCGGTTTGAAACCAGTTTGTTCCTCCACAACGAGTCCTCACACGCGGCCGTCCTGTCTCTGAACGCGTGTGCAGGGTTCTGATCACCTGACCCAGTCCAGGAGAACTAAAATCAAAAAGGCTATCGACGGGAGGGGAGATGAAATCCAAGATGGAGGAACGGACCGGAGGAGGATGGCGAGGTTGTGCTTTTTTACAAGTAGACGCGTCTCAGGTCTCCGGGCGAGGTGATGGTGTTGCACTGTGGACACAGCTTCTTGTTCCCCTGAGACGGACAGAAAGAAGAAGGTAAGCTTCAACGAAAATCAGCCATCTGTGAGCGGCCGCCGAACGGCTCATTAAAGAGACTTTGAAGGGGTGACATCATCATGGAGCACCCTTTGGACTGAACAGATACTGTAAGAGCTCTGTCTGTGGCAGACCTGGGGGTGAGGGGGGGGGCTAAGCCAGGTTCAGCTAGCATGCACCACCAGGGCTGCATGCAGAGGCTCCACACTAGGAATTCAATTAAAGCTTCCCAGTGCCCGACAGATTTATCCACGTCTGCGTGGATAAATCTTAGGGTTGTCAAAAGTATCGATACTCAAAAAAGTATCAATACTAAAATGTTGTATCCGGATACGATACTCATTTTCAAAAGTATCGATACCACCGCCCCACAGTGGATGTTAAATAGGTTTGTACAATAAGTCCAAACAACTTTAACCAAAAAAATATTTATTTCTCACAATTATGAAGGCTGGAGGGTCAGGATTAGGGTAAGGTTTAGGGTCATTAACGTGGGCCACCAGTCACGATAACATCAGTAACAGGTCAGTTTGAAATGAAAGACAATAACCTGTCAAAATTCAGTTAAATTTGGGGGTCTTTGTTTTTATCCTTGTGGTATCGAAAATGGTATCGAGTATCGAGTATTTTCCTGAGTCGGTATTGAGTTGAACATTTTAGTATCGTGACAACCCTAATAAATCTGAGCAGCTCGTAGGATCTGAGCCACCAGCGTGTCTCCCGCCCGGCCCTCTGCCTCCACGCCGGCGCTCTGATGGCGTGCCATCCGCAGTAAAGCAGCGGGCCATGATACGCAGCAGCGGGCCGGCGGGGTTACGAGGACCAGGCTGGGTGGTCTCCACCACCGTCCTACGCTGCCAGCCCGCCTCCAGAGTGTGCACGGCTGGCTGCAGGCGCATTCCTGCTGCTCCTTCATTTCTCTGCGTGCTGTGAGCAGCACACACAGAAATGTCAGGAAACGTGTCCAAAGATGGACTGATCTGTAACCTACAGATAGGTTTGTCACGATAAAAAAATTTTCAACTCGATACCGATACTCAGGAAAATACTCTATACCATTTTCGATACCACAAGGATAAAAAAAAAAGACCCCAAAATTTAAATAAATTTTGACAGGTTAGTGTCTTTCATTTCAAACTGACCTGTTACTGATGTTATTGTGACTGGTGGCCCACGGTAATGACCCTAACCCTAACCCTGACCCTGACCCTGACCCAAACACTGACCCTAACCCTCCACCCTTCATAATTGTGAGAAATAAATAGATTTTGGTTAAACTTGTTTGGACTTATTGTACAAACCTATTTAACATACACTATTTTAACATAATAATATGTATAGAGTTTAATTAAGTGTTTGAAAGATTAATTTCACTATTTTCCCTGATGGGGTGACCTGGTGGCTCCGCCCCCGTACGCTGCCGTTTGTTTTTTTGGTTAAATTCAGTAGAATGAAGCAGTTCTTTGTCTGTGTGCGCTTCATTTTGCAGAGGCCTTAGTTAGGATGCTCAGTGTGAGTGGGTGTGTGTCTGTCATGCTGCACCCGTACAGCAGGAGATGTGTGTGTGTGTGTGTGTGTGGGGGGTGGGGGCGTGACATTAACTACATTCTCAGGCATTTACTTTCATCAAACGGGCCCTCCTGTTTTTATAGCTGGCTCCAGGCGATACGTTTAATGCGCCATACATTAGAGCACTGATGGCAGCACACGCACACACACACACACGCACACACACACACACAGAGGAAACGTCCTCTCCTTAACTTGGAATCCCAGCGCAAGTCAATCGTAAACAAACCGCTGATTTGTTTGTACTCAAATGAAGCTCTTTGTGGATCTGTATTGATCTTAAACACGTGTTCCGCACAATCATTACTATTAATATATCCCCATTTAGAGCCGAACAATAGAGGCTGACACTCGCTGCTTCTCTTTGTAAAGAAAAAAAAAACCTTTAGGTGGCCGCTCTCATCAGTTTGTAAATGCATCACTTTGACAGTTACTGTAATCATTCCAGACTTATATGCTGACTTCATTATTTTACATTTCTAACTACCTCTTAGTGATCCTTTCCCAGCTTGTGACTGGTAATTAATATCCTCTGTAGTAATAGGGACCTCCAGGGACAATATGTGAAAATGTCACAGAATTTGGAGACAAGCAAAGAGCCGAACTGAGAGTTGGGAAAGGCCCGATAATAGAAAAAAAATCATGCAGAGAGACACTGAGTGTGCTGTTTATCCTCCCAGCAAAGGGAGCCTGGTTTACCTCTACGCTCCATTTGCCACATTAGCAGCAGCTAATTATGCGCCGCTGAACACATTAGCCTAACTAATAACCAACAAAGTCGCAGAGGTGTGTGTGTGTGTGTGTGTGTGTGTGCAGACCTGCGGCGCTTTGCAGGAAACGCAGGAGATTAAAGCTGACCACTTTATTCCAACATTTTAACTAGCCTATTGGGGACCATTCCATCTAAGCTTTTCCCCCACTGAGACTGGAAGTGTTTGCACTGCCTGAACTGTGTGGAGAGAGAGAACAGGTCATTTGGGGAATATTCCATTTTAGTTTCTCCCCACGGGGCACGAGTACAGAGAGAAACTCACTGACTATGAAATGAGGCTGCAATAACTGCATATCACAGAGAGCTGCCCTGCAGAAAGAGGAGCTAGCAAGTGTGTGTGTGTGTGTGTGTGTGTGTGCAGGTGAATTTGAGCGTACCAGAGTCCTGAGCCAGCACTCTTCACAGTGGACATGCCAGCACTGGATGGAGGTGAGCGGCATTGTGTAGGAGTCCTGAAAAAAAAAACAAGAACAAACCAACAAAAAACTTTATTTCCACCAGATTCCACTGACACACACATGCCGGTTACAGACACAGTTCTGTGACTCCGTGTTCCGTGTCGAACCCACGACATCAGAGCACGGCCGATGGAGGGACACAGCCAGCAGCCACGAAACCACTGAGCAAGGCAGCACAACGGTGGGGGTGGGGGGGGCACAGAGCCACCGGACAACCACACACAGACTGGCACCACAGCGAGCAGGCAACGACCAGATGGAGGGCGGCG